GTGATGGGGGGCAGGGGCTTGCCCGGGGTCAAGGCTCCTGGGGAGTGATGGGGGGCTGGGGCTTCCTCCAGCGTCTTGGTCAGTCGCTCCATGCCCCCTGACCCCCAGAAGGGAAATTGAGGCACAGAGAGGCCCAGCCTCAGCTCAATCCTACAGGGCCCCCAGAGGACAGTCCTAGGACTGACGGCGGGGAACCCGAGGCACAGAGAGGGGCACAGCCCGCTTGAGGTCCCACAGCGCTCTGGACTGGACACCTTGGCCCCTGAGAGACCCCAAGGGGCAAAGAGGAAACTGAGGTACAGAAAGGGAGAGAGCCGCCGGGGGCCACTCAGCTCTCTGGACTGATCATCCCTCCTAACGGGAAACTGAGGCACCAAGAGGTGCAACGCCAGCCGACGGTGACTCCTCAGGGTCTCGGGAGAAGAGCCAGAGGGATCGCAAGCTGCAGGAGCAGGAGGGAAACTGAGGCACCGAAGAGGATGCCACTCAACCTCTGGGCGTCTCGAGGGTGGAACTGCCCGCGCATGCGCATTCCTCTCGCTCCCCCCACCCCTGTTGGCCTGCTGTGTCCAGGGCTTGCCCCGCCCCGCTGGGCATGCGCCCTTGCTCACACCGCCTGTCAGTCTAAACAATGGAGCCCGGAGCTCACCACATCCACCGCGCACGCGCCCTCCTCCCCACCCGCCGCTGACTAATCGAGCGCAGAGCTGACTCCACCCTCACTGGATGCGACGGCGGTATCTGCCCCAGGAGTGAGGGAAAATGACGGAGAAACTCTCCAAGAGGTGAGTCCGCCTAGCGTTGCTCGCCCCCCCCCACTTCACCCTCCCCTCGTGCCCCATGGGCTGTGGCGGAAGCAGACAGACAGGGAAACTGAGACCCTCGCCAGCCCTCCCCTGTCTAGGGCCGGGGAGGCCGGGAGCTCCGGCGGGGCGGGACCCGGGCAGTGCGCATGCGCTGGCCCAGGGAGGCCGGTCTGAGCGCGCATGCGGAACCCGGGGGCGGGGCCTGTGTGGGAGCGGCGTGTCACGTGGTCCTGGTGGCTCCTCCCCCCCGGGCTGAGGTCTGGGAGAAGCAAGGGGGGGCTGGCAGGTCGTGGGGGCGCTAGGGAGTCGCGGGAGAGGAGGAACCACAGGGAACCCCAAAATAACCATGTTTGTACCTAGGGAAGGCTGAGGCTTGAAGGGGGCAAGTGGGGGCCTACACTCATTAAGCACCTACTGTGTGCTGGGCACGTGCGATACTCGGGGAAGACCCAAGTTCAAATCCAGCCTCAGACGCGTCCAAGCTGGGTGACTCAGGAATGGGGATCACCCTCCCAAGGGTGTGGTGAGGATCCAGCGAGATCCTCTCTGTCTGACCCGCTGACTGCGCCAGATCCCCGGGTTTCATAAGCCCCGGTGAGCCCAGGCGCATGGCCCTGTGCAGACGGCTGTGGGCTGGGCAGGCCCCCCTGATTGGGGATCTGACCAGGAGGGAGAAGGGCCTGCAACACGCTGGACAACCCGTGCCCACGTTGGGCCCGGTCCCAGGCGTCAGGTCAGCCACGTGGAAGCACCCACTGTGTGCCCAGTCAAGGCATGAGCCATTGTTAAGCACCTACTATGCACCCGCCACCATGTCAGGTGCTGGAGACACAAGGAGCTGAAATGGTCACGGGGAGACAGCATGCCTAAACCTCCTCCTGCCAGCCTTCTCTGGCCATCAGGGAGGGATACGCCTTAGCAGGTCATTAAAGTGAATCAGAAGTTGAGGCCGCCCAAAGGGCCTGGGGGACACGCCTGCCGGGTACCAGGCGGGCTGATACAGTGCATCGCTGTTGCTGTTCGGTCGTTTCAGTCGTGTCTGACTGCCCCGACTTCCTTTGGGGTTTTCTTGGCAGAGATATGGGAGGGGTTTGCCATTTCCTTCTCCAGCTCATTTGACAGATGAAGAAACTGAGGCAAACAGGGTGAAGTGACTTGTCCAGGGTCACACAGCTAGTGTCTGAGGCCAGATTTGAACTCGGGAAGATGAGTCTCCCTGACTCCAGGCCCGGCGCTCTATCAACTGAGCCACCAAGCTGCCCTGCCTTAAAAATAGCAAGCATAAGAAATTTAAACTTGCCCTTTTTTCTTCAAGTATGAAGGACATTTTTAGATAAAACCTCAGGTGTGATTTGGGCCTGCAACCTTGATTAAGTGGATACAGCCTGGAAAGGTATCTAGTGTTTCTAAGTGTACCGTCTCCTGGAGCGCTAACAGACTGGTCACTGTGGCCCGGAGGGGCCCCGCCAGCCTCCAGACTGTGCCCCCTGAGCCCAGGTATGACCAGGGCCCGCTGAGCCCACAGCCGTCTGCACAAGGCCATGCGCCTGGGCTCACCGGGGCTTATGAAACCCGGGGATCTGGCGCAGTGAGCGGGTCAGACAGAGAGGATCTCGCTGGATCCTCACCACACCCTTGGGAGGGTGATCCCCATTCCAGAGATTAAGAAACTGAGGCGAGCAGGGGTGAAGTGACTTGTCCAGAATCACCCAGCTAGGACGTGTCTAAGGCTGGATTTGAACTCAGGTGTTCCTGCTCCTTTCATTGTATCACACGTGCCAGGCACACAGTAGGTGAGCACCCCCAGCCTACAGGGAGGTGCTCACCGTGGGCCTGACACCTGAGGCCATGTGGAGTGATCTGTGATCCCCCTGGGCTGGTGCAGGGGCGCAGGAACCTACCGTGGAAACCCCAGACCCTGGAAGCACTCCCATTCACACCACGATTGCCTTGTACTTTTGTCCACAGTGTGAAGATTGCTCCGGGAGCAGTGGTGTGTGTGGAGAGTGAGATCAGGGGAGATGTGACCATAGGTAAGAGGCCAGCATGGCAGGTGAGGAGTCGGGGGGGCAGGGGGGATGGCCCTGTCCAGCACCCAGGCAGCCTGCACCTGGCTCAAAATCAGGCCGCCCATACCCACAGCGGGAGTGAGAGTGGGAGACGGGACCGGCCCAGAAACCAGCAGTTCACGCTAGAGCCATGGCGGGAGATGGACCGGCCCAGAGCCCGGAAAGCCCAGCCCCCAGGCAGCCCTTCCAAGCCACAGAAGGAGAAAGGGTGTGGGCAGCACCCGCTACCAGCCAGTCAGCAACATCTGGGTGGGGCCTGTTAACTCAAGGCAATAAGGGAAAAAGCCAACTCCATGTCTGGGCCAGGGTGGGCAAAAGCAAGGTTGAGGCCAAACCCGGGAATTCCTGCAGAACCTGTCTTAGCTGTTCTGTCAAGGACCAAGCAGGGCTGGTCCAGCCCACCATCCAAGAGCACAGAAGGGAGCAGCCTGGAGACAGGAGTAAAGGGAAGAAACAGACAAACACAATGAAGAAATCCCGTGGCCTGGGAGGGGCCCAGGAGGAGAGGGGAACCCCCTTCAAGTGCAAGGAGAGCCTCAGCCAATGCAACGTCCTGGCCACACCGATGGGAGAGAATTCGAGGGAGACAGAGCCAGAGATACAGAGCTGTGCCTGAAGGAAGGACTCCTGGGAGCCAAAGGCAGACAGGGATAAACTGGGCGCGAGGGCTGGATGCCTGCCTGCCAGAGGAGGCCAAACGGAAAGCAGGGACTCCCACACAGTGGCCACGGCCAAGGACATCCACCGCGCTGGGTGCAACAAGGCCCAGCTCCCAGACAGCCCTCTTCTCTCTTTTGTTCACGGGAATTTCATGCGGTACAATTCATAAACAAAGGGGAATAAAATGGTCATTTAACAAAGATCGTTTTTGACAAAGAACTGGAAATTGAGAGGATGCCCATCAATTGGGGAATGACTGAACGAGTTGTGGTATATGAATGTTATGGAATACTACTGTTCCATAAGAAATGATGAGCAGGCAGACTTCAGAAAAACCTGGAAAGACTTTCATGGACTGATACTGAGTGAAGTGAGCAGAACCAGGAGAACATTGTACACAGTAACAGCCACGTTGTGCGATGACTCATTTTGATTGATAGACTTAACCCTTCTTGGCAATGCCAGGATCTAGGACATCTCCAAAGGCCTCATGATGAAAAATGCTATCCACATCCAAAGAAAGAACTATGGAGCCTGAATGCAGATCGAAGCAGACTGTTTGCTCTGTATTTTGTTGGGCTTTTTTTCATGGTTTTTTTTTTCCTTTTGTTCCGTTTCTTCTTTCACACGACTAATATGGAAATAGGTTTAACATTATTGTACATATGTAATCTATGTCAAATTGCTTACCATTTTAGAAAGTGGGGAGGGGAAGGAGAGATGGAGAAAAATTTGGAACTCAAAATCTTTAAAAAAAAAAAAGTGTTGAAAATTGCCTTTACATGTAATTGGGGGAAAAAATACTTAAAAAAAAGGTAACAAAGGCCATTTCACAGGGTGGCATGGGGGAATCTCTGGCCACTTGGGTTCTAGTGGTGCCATTCACTAGCTGTTTGACCCTGGACAAGTCCACTCTGGGCCTTCATTTCTTCACTGAGCAAATACTCAGGGCCAGAAGACCCTCCACATCCCCAGAAGCTCCACCACCCTCATGAAAAAGTACAAACCCAACCCCCCCCATGCCCACCCCCAGGGAAGGGCTGTAATTGACCCAGCTGGGCCCTTCCCGGCCTTCTGCTGCAAACATCTGGCCAGACCATGCCGGCTGCTATGTTGCTAAGGAACATTACAAACAGATCTTTCTTTTTCTCAAACAAAAGAATCACATGCAATGGAAAGATCCCCGCGTTGTCCAGATACCAGTGCCGTGCTTGGAGTAGTGGGGATGACGCATCCCGAGGCCTCTGTGCCCAAGTCACAGAGCACAAGCAGAGCTTCTGAGGCACCGCCTCTGGCCAGGCAGCCCCAGGCCAGGCCCCTCTGCCCTCTGCCGCCTCTTAAATCCGTTTTCCCCAGCCAAGGGCAAGGCAAAGCGTTCTCGTTGGCTTCTCACCGAAGAATGCCATTTTTCTAGCAATAGGTCAGAAACAAGTACACCCCATGCCAAAAGATTGGAGGGGAAGAAGTATTTATTAAGCACCTGCTACGTGCCAGACGCTTTCCAAACATCTCTTGTGATCCTCACAATAACCCTGGGAGGTTGGTGCCGTCACCATCCTCAGGTAGGGATGAGGAGACTGAGGCCAAGGATGGCAAAGCGCCTTGCCCAGGGCGATCCGGGCAGGACTGTCCACGCCTCCTAGCCTGTACGGGGTACTTACTGCCTGCGCGCTAAGTGCTATGTGCCCCGCTATGTGCCGCGGCCTCTCCGTCACAGCTCCGGCCGCCCAGGCCTGCTGCTGGAGGCGCCTCAAAGGGGGCCCAGCCCTTAGGTGGCGACCCACCCAGGCACACAGCCACAAAAACAACATGAACCCTTGGGGGGCATTTTCTCCCCTCTGCCCCATAACCCAAAACTGTTCCATTAGACAGACCTATTCTGGAAACTGTCTTCTAAAGGCTGGCTATTTCTGAAGCTCTTAACATTCTGCTATCTTTGCTGTGGGCCGGTGTCTACATCTGCAGAGCTGCTGCCCGCAGGCAGAAGGATAAATTGTTTATCAGCTGCTCTGGGGCAAAATCTTTTACTGGCTTACTAAAGTGTTCTTTGTTTGATTTGGTTGGGACCAAAGGCATGAGGTCCAGTATCTCCTGCTGCATCAGGCCACCCTGATGGAAAGTGGGCAGTGAGTGAGCAATTCACGCCCTGCGGGATCAGCCTGAGGCCAGCCAGGGCTTCGCAGGAAGAGAAGCCACGGGTGTCTGGGACAAACGGGATCTTATAAAGCTGAATTAAGAAGGCTTAAGACGTGAAGGAATCCAAAAAAATCTGACTGCAAGAGTGACGAGCATACTTAGATCTCGCACCTGGGGATGGAAAAGCCACTGCCTTCTGGGGTGGTGAAGGGAGCCTGCCGGCCTTCCCTCCGCCTTTATCCTGACTCCGCTTCGGAGCTGGGGGACACAGAGGGGCCACCTGGAGCTGGGGGATGTGGCGGTCTCTGTCGGTCAGGCCTCAATAAATGACAAATCTAGGGGCAGCTAGGTGGCGCAGTGGATAGAGCGCTGGTCCTGAAGTCAGGAGGACCTGAGTTCAAATCCAGCCTCAGACACATAACATGCACTAGCTGTGTGACCCTGGGCAAGTCACTTAACCCCATTGTCTAGCCAAAAAACAGAAAAAGTAAATAAATAAATGACAAATCTTTCTGTTCTGCAAACGTTCCTGCCTCACCTGCACGAAGGAGCAGCCCCGGAGGGATGGCAGGGCTGGTCGCCATGGCGACAGGTCTGCAGAATGGCCTTTTCTCTAAGGCATGGCTCTCAGAGGAGACAGCAGAGGGCCAAACGCGAGATGCAGACACACAGGATTGGGACCAATTTCACTGTAAGACAACGGGCTGCTGGCATTGTAGGGAGAGGGGGATGGCTTCGGGGGGCATGCATCAGAAGACAGACCCAGCCAACAGGCAAATACAGGTGCTCAAAAGCTGCCCAGGCTCTCCACCATGCCCCCCGCCCTGTCTTCAGCCCCCTGCAAGGCAGCTCAGAGATGATGGAAATCACTGCGGTCAGCCATCCTTTATGATTTCAGCGCTAGGCTTCTCACCAGTGGGATGCTTCTCGTTGCAAACTCCGCACCAATAGTTTTCTGCCTGTGTAGCCAAGCTCACAGACCATCACGCTTTGCTACCCCAGAGGCCTAGTAAGGACAACTTTAAAGAGCTGGCCCTGCTCCCCGTCTTTGGTGCTCGTGGCGGATCGGCGGCAGTTGGGCCGGGGGAGCCTGGGCCAGAGCCGCTGCAGAGGCCAGACATGGATGGGCGCATCTCTTCCTCACGGCGGACCGCCGACGTGGGTCTGAAACAGACTATGTCGTAACCCATGGGAAATGAGTGGAGGTGGTCAGATCATCAGCTGATGACGATGGCAAAGTCCTGCTGGCTGCGTTCAGAGCGGGGTCTTCGAGGCGTGGGGCGGGGGGGGCAGGATCCAGCCTTCCTCCTCATTCAAGCTTTTCCTTCAGTTCTTTTGGAATCTTACCTTGGTTGGGGCCAGAAGCCCTCAGGCCTTCTTAGAGTCTTGTGTGCGTGGATGTAAGAAAGAGTGCGTTTGGGTCTCCTTCCAGACAGAATTAGCCGGAGTGCCGCAGCGGCTCCTGTATCCGGGGCGCCTCTCTCTTTTCTCTGCCCCATGACAGGGGCTCCCTTTCCCATCCCAGCAGGGCTCTTTGAGCTGCAGATGGGTACTCCCTGAACTTACCTTGCCAGCCTCTCATTGGTCTGAGCGTGTCTGCTTTCTTCCCTGGAGCATCCCCTCTTTCAGCTCCAGTGGGGCTCCCCAGAGACGCCCCTGCCCCGGGAGGAAGGGCAGTTCTTGGCCGATCCAAGGCAGCTGGCGGGGCCGCAGTGGTGAGAGTGTCGGGCCTGGAGTCAGGAAGACCTGAGTTCAAATCCAGCCTCAGCCTCTTCCCAGCTGTGGGCCCCCTGCCTCAGTCCCTGAACCTCCGTACAATGGGGATCAGACTCATACCCCCCTCCCGGGCCGTGTTTGTAAAGTGCTTTGTAAACAAAAAGGGCTCCAGAAAAATGCCAGTTCATTATCAGTGCTGCAGAAAGGATTATCCAGAATCTGGAGTCACAGGATCTGGGTTCAAATCCTGGCTTTGCCTGTGTACCCTTGGGGAGGTCAGTTTACTTCCCTTGGGCCTATTTCCTCGTTGTAGAAAAAGGGGTTGGATTAGATGATCAGTAGGTACTTTGTAGCTCTAAACCTGAGATCCCCTACTCACTCCATCCAGAACCCATCCCTCGGTGCCTTAGTTTCCTCACTTGTAAAATGAGGTAGGATGTGGCCGGGTTAGGGCATCATTCCTCGTGAGATGCAACCATGTCACTTGGGAGGGGACAGGAGTGCCTGCCCTTCAACCCAGACCAATCTTCCTTTTGTAAAAATCGATCAGATCCTGTGATTTCTCTGCTCAAGTCCCTCAGGTCTCCTGCTGAACTAAGCCCAAACCCCACAGTGTGACGTGACATTCAGGGCCCCCGAGACCCGGCCCTGGCCCGCTCACCAGGCAGTCTCACCTCCTGCTGCTTTCTCCCAACGAACTGAACCCTGATGGCTGGTCCATGTTCTCCTGCCCCCACGGGCCTAATTACCCCTCACGCCCTAATTCCCTGTGCCTGGACCCCCAGTCTGTGCCGGCTCAGGGAGTGCCTCCCCCTGCCCCATATCCTGCCCTTCAGGTTCAGGCTGTTTGGGTAAGCCACAGGGCCGGCAGGGACCTCAGAGCCCCTCATTTTATAGAAGAGGAAACTGAGGCCCAGGAGGGGAAGGGACTCATCCAAGGTCACACTGAGAGGAAGTAGGAGAGATCTGGGAGTAGGGATTTGAACCCAGGTCCCCTGTCTCTTTCCACTGACAATAGCCTCGAATTTCTCTTTTGTATCAGTCCCCAGCGCTGCTCATTGACAAAGGTTTGTTGTTGGTAAACGTGAGGCTGGCCAGCTTTGCCCACTTCACAGCGAGGCCAATGAGAACATCCTGTCCTGCTTCCTCCACAGGCCCCCGGACGGTGATTCACCCAAAGGCCCGGATCATTGCGGAAGCTGGGCCAATCGTGATTGGGGAGGGTAACCTCATCGAGGAGCAGGCCCTGATCCTCAATGGGTGAGTACCAGCATCCGCGATGGTCAGCCTGGGAACCAAGCCCCTGGAGGCTTCTGCGTTGGGGGCCCCCTCCACCCCCCCGCCCCGAGGGACTGACGAGAGGCCTGAGGAGAGACATGCTCAGCCCAGCTCCGCTCCCGGGGACCACGACGGGCCTTGGGAATCAGACGGAGGGCCTTTGCCCGGGGAAAAGGGGAGCCTTGGGGATGGGATGGGTTTAGGAAGATGACTTTGGCCCCTGGGTCCTCCTGGGCTGTTTCCTGAGGACTTGTTTCATGCTCACTTACCTGGACTTTTACCAGCAGCTAAATTGGAAGCAGTTGGATCCAGAAACAAATGCTGGCGTGATTGAGGTTTACTGTGGGCCGACGTTTGGGATTCGTAAATTGAGGGGAATGTGTTCAGAAAGCTTTCTGAAAACGTGCTTGTCCTTTCCACAGGTATCCTGAAAACATCCTCCCTGACACAGAGGACGTGGAGCCCAAGCCCATGGTCATCGGCACCAACAACGTGTTTGAAGTTGGCTGTTGTATCCTTTGCAGTGAGGACACCGCCCCGAGGGTGGCCGCCCTGCTCCTGCCGTGATAACGGGGACACAGGCGGTGGATCTGGGGTTCCTGCTCTCCTCGGGAGGGGGTCCTGGGCTCTCGGCGGGCTCGGGGTGTGCCCCTGTGGGTGCCTGGGCCGGGCCTCGGCTCCAGCTCCGAGCTCCGAGCCCCGGGGCCTGGCTGCAGTGCAGACCCCGCCAGCGCCACCCTCGCACTCCTGCAGCACCGTCACCAGCTCAGCGATTTGGTGGGAAATCTGGCCGGGCTGGAGCTGCAGGCAGAGCCGCAGCTGTGGCCGGGGCGGGGGGGGCAGCGTCAGGGTCCAGGCGCTCAGCGCGCATCCATCCTTGCCCCTTCTCCTCTCAGTTTCCCAGCTCAAGTTTACAGCTTGTGTCCAGTGGACAGAGCACTGATGCCCTGGGGGTCAAGAAGACCTGAGTTCAAGTCTGGCTGCAGCCACCTCCCAGCTGGGTTATCCTGCCTCTGTTTCCCCATCTGTGAAATGGGGATAATAACAGCACCTGCCTCCCAGGGTGGTTGTGAGGCTCCGATGCCAGGTACTTGGCTGACCTTGAAGGATTGTCCTGATGGAGGAGGCGTGGGAGCTCTAGCTGCGGGTCATTGTGCCCCCTCTGGGCTCCTCCCCCCGGAGGCGTCTCTCCAGGCCTGGGGAAGGCCCTGAGGTCAGGGGGAAGGCAAAGCGCTGTTGGGTGAGCTCACGTCCCTGTCCCTCGTTGAGGCCTGCGTCGTGCTCCTGTTCAGATGAGAGGCTCACTCTCAGCACGTGTAAATGCCCCGGGCACACATCCTGCTTTCCCCTCAAAGCCCGCTCTCTGTATTGTTTGCAGTTCTTTCCGCTTTTTGACCTCATCTTTTACTTAACCCTCATTTCCAGACTCTGAAGCCATGAAGATGGGAGACAACAATGTCATCGAATCCAAAGGTGAACGTCAGTTACCCAGCATTCATTAAGCCCCTACTGTGTGCCGAGTGCTGAGGGCGCAAGGACAAAGAAGGGAGCCACCCCTACTTCCAGGGAGCTCCCTTTCCAGTGGGGAGACGAGGGTGGAGCCAAATGCAAATGCAAATGGGGAGGGCACGCCAGGCATGGGAGAGGTCTGGGATAAAGGCTCAGAGATGAGAGACGGCCTGTCACGGGGACAAGTTGTGAAGGGCCTTCCCGGCTCTCCAGAGGAGTTTCTGCTCCATCCTGGAGACAACAGGAAGGCCTGGAGGTGGTCGAGGAGGGGAGGCCCATTGTCAGATCTGAGCTTGCGCAGAGGGCCTCTGGGGAGAGGCGGTGAGGGCGAGGGCGAGGGCCCCTCGCGGAGGGGGCGGTCAGCAGAAGCTCGTGGAACCCCTTCTGATCACCTCTTCTTTACTTCCCTGGGAGATAAGCGCCATGAGGGCAGGGAGCATTTCATTTTTGTCTGTAAAAGGGCCAGGCCTTTCTTTCCAGTCATGTCCAACTGTTTGTGGCCCCGTTTGGGGTTTTCTCAGCAGAGATACTGGAGCGGTTTGCCATGTCCTCCAGCTCGTTTGACAGATGAGGAAACTGAGGCCAGGAGGATGAAGTGACTTGCCCAGTGTCACCCAGCTAGTGTCTGAGGCTGGATTTGAACAGGCAGCTAGGCCCTTGATAAGGGTGTGTTGAGGCCTCTGGTGAGCCGTTTCTCCGGAGCTGGCTGTTCTGGCTGTGTGTGTCCATCTCTGCCCAACTCTGTGTGGTTTCCAGGGACCGTGTTCTTGCCCCTTCGCCCAGGATGTTCCTCAGGGCTCCGTCCCTGACCCCCTTCCCTTTTCTTTTTTAATTAATTAATTTATTTTTAGATTTCAGCATTCACTTCCATAAGCTTTTGAGTTTTACATTTTTCTCCTCCTCCCTCCCTGTCTCCCTCCCCAAGACAGCGCACAATCTGATATAGGCTCTACATATACATTCCTGTGAAACATATCTTCGCATTAGTCATGTTGTAAGTAAGAATCAGAACCAATAGGAGGAACCACCAGAAAGAGGAAACAAAACACAACAGAAGAAAAAATAGCAAACAGTCTGCTTCGATCAGCATTCAGACTCCATAGTTCTTTCTTCTTTGTGGACGGCATTTTCCATCACGAGGCCTTTGGAGATATCTCGTCTTAGACCTTTGTATTGCTGAGAAGGGCTCAGTCAATCAATGTTAGTCATCTCACAACGTGGCTGTTGTTGTGTACAACATTCTCCTGGTTCTGCTCACTTCACTCAGCATCAGTCCATACAAGTCTCTCCAGGTTTTTCTGAAGTCTGTGTGCTCATCGTTTCTTATAGCACAATAGTATTCCATCACATTCATATACCACAACTTGTTCAGCCATTTCCCAAATGGAAAGGCATCCCCTCAATTTCCAATTCTTTGCCACCACAGTGAGAACTACTATAAATATTTTTGTACAAGTGGGACTGTTGTTATGATCTCTTTGGGATATAACCCTGTGGTATTGCTGGGTCAAAGGGTATGCACATTTTTATAGCCCTTTGGGCCTAGTTCCAACTTGCCTTCCATAATGGTTGGATCAGTTCACAACTCCACCAACCTCCCTTCCCTTTTCTCTCTGTACTCAGTAATCTCATCAGCTCCCAAGCTTCAGCTGTCATTGGTGACACACGCCCAGCCCTAGCGTCCCTCCTGTGCTCCAGGCCTGTGTCACCACCCGTCTGTTGGACGTCTTGTAGACATCTCAAAGTCAGCACGTCCAAACGGATCTCATCCTCCTTGCCCACACTTGTGCGTTTCTGCCAAAGGCACCCCCATCCCTCCAGGCTCCTGGGTTCATGCCTCACTGCCATCGTCGGCACCTCGTGTCTCCCTCAGCCCCCATCTCTGGCCACTGGCCGTCCTCCTCCTCAGCATCTCTCGGGTCCGTCCCCTTCTCGCGCTCCTGTGGCCACTGCCCCAGGTCAGCCTTCATCGCCTCTCTCCTGGGCGTCCTGAGCGGCGTCCCTTCTTCCCTGCAGGCTCTCCCCTCTGCCTTCCGTACTTGGTACAGCTGCCATGGCCCGCTCTGAGCAGGCCACTGCCTGCTGGGTCATCTCCAGCGGCTCCCCTTCAGCTTGGGGGTTAAACGCACGCGCCTTCCTCTGGCCTCGAGAGCCTTTCTCTACCTGCCCCGGCCGCCTTTCCAGGCTTCTTCGCGCCTTCCTCGGTCCAGCCCAGCTGGCCCCGAGGCTCTGTGTGTCACTGTCAGGCTTTGTTGTGATGGTGCCTCGAGTCGGTTGGTTATTCTCCTGTACCGGATTGTAGGCGTTCTATTAGTGGTGTCCTGGTCCTGCTCACGTGGCTCTGCATCCGTTCACCCAAGTCTTCCAGGTTTCTCTGCTTTTGTCCCTTTCTTCATTTCCATCCGTCCCATCCCTAGATCATCTTCTGCTCCGCCGTGCCCCAGCTGATGGACGCCCCTCAGAAAGTGCTGTCCTCAAGGTTGGCGTGCCCTCTGTGTTGGCTGCGTTGGGAGCACAGGCCTCGCGGTGACGGCGTACGCTGGGGGACCTTGGCGGTGCGGGTGCAGCTCCTTTCCAGAATGTCTGCCCCAGGGCCCAGCGTGGCTCCCATGCACCCGTGTGCCTGTCCTCCCAAGAGCCCTTGCAAGTCCTTTGTCACACGCTGTCCCTTCGTGGCGCCATTAGCAGACTGCCAGCTGACACAGAGCTCATGCGGCGGGTCAAAAGCCTGCTGGTGTTTTTCCTTGTTTTTTCAAGGTCTGTAGAAATCCGCGCAACTCTTACGGCCTTCTCCAGTATCCTGAGACCAGCCTTCTTAACGGTTCACACCTCAGGCTTCAGTCACGTCTCTGCATTGAACCTCTGGCTCATCTACATTAGGCCTGGCCGTCATCTGCCCACAGAGACCCGGGCCGCATCGCTGCCGTGTTGTGGGCCTGGCGTTGACCGGCCTTACCCCGCTCCTCAGGGAAGCGCCTCCCGGCCTTCTCCATGGCACCGAGTGCCAGCTGGCCTTCTAGGCAGGGTTCCTGTCCTGAGGGAGGGTTCCTGTCCTGAGGGAGGGTGGCTTAACCACAGTCAGGGAGACCCGAGGTCAAGCCCTGCCTCCACGCGGTGCCCCGGCAGCTCTGTACCAGCATCAGGGGCCTTGGTGGAGGGCTTTCCTCCCCTGGGAGTGCCACGTGCTGACAGGCCCAGCCCCTCACCCTCTTTCTTCCTAAGGGGAATCCAGAAGGTCGGGGCTGGGGGAGGGGATTGCTAGAAGCAGGCGTTCCAGACATTTGGAAGCTTTGAGGCCGAGCCAGGGACGGCCTTGACGCGCCTGCCCTCACGTGCTCCGCCGACGCCAGCCAGCAACCTTGTGTGCCAGAGCCCTGGGGCTGCAGTCTGGTCAGATTAGCCTTGTGTAGCCGGCAGCCCTGGTGCTGAGGCTTCACGGCCATGGAAGTGATGGGTGCTCTCTTTGCTGCCCACCTGAGCCGAGCCAAGCTCGACTGCCCCTAGGCCTGGCATTGACTGGGTGTGCTGACTGTGCAGGGGGTGGATTGCTGAAGTAATGTGATGTACTAACCAGTCAGTCAGTAAACATTAAGTGCCACGATGTGCTGGGCACTGGGCTAAGCACGGGGGATACACAGAGGGGCAAAAGACAGTTCCTGCCCTCAAGAAGCTTCCAATCTAACCACATACAAACAAGCTGTAGACAGGATAACTAGGGAGTACTGACCAGAGGGATGGCGCTGGAACAACGAGGGCTGGGAGGCCTTCCTGGAGAAGGTGGGACTTTACTTGGGGCCCAAAGGAAGCCGGGAAGGTCAGGAGGCAGAGCGTTCCAGGCCTGGGAGCGGCCCGAGAGAATGCCTGGAGCTGAGAGGCAGAGGGTCCTGTTGGTGGAACAGCCAGGAGGCCGGGGTCACTGGATGAAGAGGACGTGGTGGGGGTTATGTTGGAGCCCCTGGAGGTTACTGAGTGACACGGTCAAACCTGCGCTTTAGGAAAATCCCTTTGGGGGCTGAGTGGAGGATGGACTGGAGTGGGGAGAGGCAGGCAGACCACCCGCAGCTCTTGCAGCAGTCCAGGTGCGAGGTGATGAAGGTCTGTCCAGGGTCGGGGCGGCATCAGAGGAGAGAAGGGGGCAGATTCGAGAGATGCTGCAGAGGGGAAGTCATCAGGCTTGGCCAGAGCTGGATATGGGGGTGAGGGAGAGTGAGGAGTCCAGGATGACTCCTAGAGACTGGGAGGAGGGGGTGCCCTCCACAGTGATACGGAAAGGGTCGGGGAAAAGTTGGCGAGTTCTGAGTTTACGGTGTCTGCTGGACATTGAGTTCAGATGTCTGAAAGGCATTTGGAGATGTGATATTGGAGGCCGACAGAGTCTGGGGCAGTGACAGTCTTTAGCATAGAGATGGTCATTAAATCCACCGGTGCTGATGAGATCCCCAGGAGGAGGGCCCAGGACAGAACCCGAGGGACAGCTCTGGTTGGAGGCATGACCAGAAAGAGAGACAGAAGGAATGCTCAGAGAGGTGGGAGGGGAGTCGAGAGACAGGGGTGTCCTCCACACCTAGAGAGGAGAGGGGGATCGGCAGAGGCTGGGGAGAAGGACTGAGAAGAGGCCGCTTGATCGGACCACCAAGAGCTCTTTGTCCTGGCGCTCTGGTCACAGCTGAGCAGCCCGGGGAGGAAGGGAGGACAGCAGGTGCTGCAGGCCAGGGCAGCCTCCCGGCTAGGGCTGGTGCAAGTGGCCCGAGGGCATCCTTCGGTGGACAGGAGCTCAAGGCAGTGGCGGACAGCACACGCTTAGTCCAGCGCCATTCTTATTCATAGAATTCTTCTATTTTACATCCGATCCCTTCCCCTGGACCCCGGTCTTTGCTTCCTTCAGCCTGTGGTCCCCACCCCTGCCCTTCATGGCCGCCAGTGCCCACCCTGTGACCCCTGCCTTCAGCAGCCTCACCCTTTACCTCTGATTCAGCCCAGGTGGTATCAGAGGTCAGGGGGTGGGAGGGTCCTGGGGGTTATCTAGTGTACCCCTCCTCATTTTATACATGAGAAAACTGAAGTCCAGCAAAGGGAAGGAATTTGCGCCAGGCCAGCCAAGTAGCTGAGCTGGGACGTAGCCTCTGGTCCTTCTAGGCTGAGGTGAGGGCTCTGGCCGGTGCGCTTGCCCAAGCAGCCCAGCGAGGCTGAGGGCCCAGGGGTGCAGCAGACCGCCTCAGGGGCCCTGCCTCGTTTTCCCCTGAGCTCAGCATGGGCCTCACACTTCTGGGTGTGCAAGTCTGCAGCTTGACCCCGTCTCCTTCCTCGTGGGGCGGATGCCACCTCCAGGGGTCCCCTGGCTCTTACCTGTCTCCCTCAGAGAAGTCTCCCCCAGCCCCCTCAGAGCTCTGCTGCCCCTGCCTGTCCCGTGGCCCTCCCTGCTGACAGCCATGCCCTTGCCCACAGCCCACGTTGGGAGGAACGTGATCTTGACCAGCGGCTGCATCATCGGGGCCTGCTGCAACCTGAACACCTTTGAGGTGATCCCCGAGAACACCGTCATCTACGGGGCCGATTGCCTGCGCCGGGTTCAGACGGAGAGACCTCAGGTGCGTCCAGTGGGGAGGGCCCTCTCTGCCCCCCGATCCCTCAGGGCGCATCCTGGCCTCCCGCTCCCTCCTGGGGTCCTGCTTTACTTCTGAAGCAGATGCGCTGGAATTTATAGATAGCCGGGTGGGCTTTGCTCGCTCTGAGACTTCCTGCCACCCGAGGGCCCGTCACGGGTTGCGCTTGGGACCCCAGGGCCCCAGGATCGTTTCTGCCCCTGGCATCGATGAGGGGGCGTGTTGGTGCTTGGCCCTGGTGCCCCCATATGAGGTGCTCAGGGTCACTCTGCCAAGAGGGCTCCTTTCCCCAGGTGGGCGTGGAGGCAGCTGGTGCTCAGGCTCAGGCCTGCACCCGGATGTTATGTTGCTAATGGGCGGCTCCTTGTGTCTTTTGTCCCCAGCCCCAAACCCTCCAGCTGGATTTCCTGATGAAAATTTTGCCCAACTACCACCACTTGAAGAAGACCACGAAGGTGATCACAGCCCCCACCAAGAGCTGAGCGGGCAGCGGCAGCCTTGGGATGCGGCCCCTGGGGAGGCCGCGAGGAAGGAAGGCCGCCTCTTTGGCCGTTCTTCGTGTTTACACGGTCCCTCCTCGGCGTTTCCTCACAGGCTTTGTCATTGCCGCGATAACCCGTCTTGTAGCTAGGTAGCTGTGTGTGCGCCCTTAGAGCTGGGGCCTCGGCCCCCAGAAGCCCAGGCGCAGGAGGGCTCCGCGTGTGGCCCGTCCTTCACCCATCCTCCCTGGCTATAATTAAGGTGACCCTCCAGGCCTGGTGTGAGTTCCTGTGTCTCCTGTGTCATGGCCCGAGGCCCCCGGATGGCTCCCGGAGGCCTTTGCCCCTTGGGGGCCCGTGGGCCTGCCGGGGAGGGCCCTTCTGTGTCTGCCTCAGTGCTCCCACCCCATCGTCCTGTGACCCCCTTCTAATAGGCACTGAATACAGAAATAAAGACGGCGGTGCAGGTGGATCGTTCACATGGCTGGCTCCACCGCGAATCCTCCTCGAATCCTCGGGTTCGTTTCTTCCTGTGTCGACATGACCCCCATCCCTGCCATTCCAGCCCGTTGAAGGGGCCCAGTGCCCCAGCCTCTGCCGACCACTCAGGTTTGGCCGCCACGGTCACCCTGCCAGGCCTCGGCCTCAGGGGCCCTTTCTGGCTCGGGGCAGGGTTTGTGCGCTGCTCCCTGGAGAGGCCACCCTCACCCCAGCAGGGCCTGCAGGGCGGGTCCAGTCGGGGCAGGCACCTGTGCCTGTGTGCCCCTCCAGGCATCTCAGGGATGCCGGGATGTCCCCCCCTGGGGAAAGGTCAGCTTCAGACGGGGAGACCTCCCTTTTCTTTCACTCAAACCCATTTGATGGCCCAGGGGTAGGGAACCTGCTGCCCCGAGGCCACACGTGGCCCTCTAGGTCCTCGGGTGTGGCCTTTTGACTCATTCTTTGATGAAGGGGATTTGTTGTGTCAAGTTTGGATTCGATCAGAGGGCCGCACCAGAGGACCTAGAGGGCCACGTGTGGCCTCGGGGCAGCAGGTTCCCCACCCCTGGGCTAGATGATGGGGTCCTTCCTGGGCCTCAGTCTCTTTATCTGTAAAGAGGTTAGACTAGATGATGTCAGGATTCCCTTCCAGGTCAGACACTCCTTGAGACTGCAGACTCTCTAGGCCTCAGTTTCCTCTTCTGTCCTGTGAAGGTAGGGCTGGTAAGATGAGATCGTCTCAGTTCTGGGGGGAAATTGCGTTTGGGGGTTAACATCCGGAAGAAGGATGCCTGAAGCGGGGCCTGAGGGGCTCTAAGGCAGAGGACCCAAGACGTTTCTATTTGTCTGCTCTCTGATCACTGGCCTCCTCTTTTATTGAGTGCAGCTCTAGGCTGACATTCGAGGCCTCACCCTCCTCGCAGCATCCCACTGCTATGTTCTCCAGGGCTCTCAGCCAACCCCCCACCCCGAAAACCTCTCACCCTGGACTGTGGCCCATCCTGTTCTTTAGGCTTGCAGCGCTCCACCCCCACCAAACACATGCACTCTTGGCCTTTGGGATGTCTGCAACCCAAAACCCAGCTCCCCCAGGAACCTCCCCCTGAGCCCTGCAGCCGGTAAGGAGCCCAGAGGCCTCAAGGAACCCTGTTGTGGAACATGTGTGCACATGCACGTGTGCGTGTGTGTGTTTGTGCATGTTTATGCATGTGTGCACACATGTGCATGTGTGTGCACGTGCGTGTGTGCGCATGTATAAGTTTTTTGTTCATGCTGTTTGTTTTTTACAGCACAGACATTTGGTGATATAAAACCCTGTCCCCCGTAGAACCATCCTTATGCAAAATTCAGTTCCCAAGGGCCCCTGCCTCTTCATAGCAATTTTTTTGTTGTTCAGTCATTTCAGTTGCGTCTGACTCTTCACGACTGCATATGAGGTTTTCTTGGCAAAGATCCTAGAGTGTTTGCTATTTCCTTCTCGAGCTCATTTTACAGATGCGGAAACTGAAGCAAACGGAGTTAAGTGACTTACCCAGAGTCGCACAGCTAGTGAGTATCTGAGGCCAGATTTGAACCCAGGAAGATGGCGCTCTGTGCACTATGGTGCCACCGAGCTGCCCTCCCTTCATAGCAGTAGTGATGCCAAAAACATGGCCTTTGAAACTTTTTTTTTTTTTAACACACTGGAGGTTGAAAAGGAAGCCCAGACAAGTAGGACAGTTTTGAAAGGAGCAGGTAGAATTTATTAGACAGCTTTTTTTTTAAAGCAAGTGACATGAAATGGAGATTGATGGTTTCATATAGGATCCTCTTTGTGTTCCGTTGTGTGTTTGGAAATTTTCTTGGTATTCAAGTTCACAATAAAAAAAAGGAAAAGATACAGGCAGTTTTGGGGGAAAGACACCAGTAGCTGGAGGAATCAGTACAAGGCCTCAATTAGGAGTCTGTCCATGTGCTGCCATTTTGTTCAGCCATTCCCTAATCAATTGGATTCCAATTTTATTTCAGTTGTGTTTGTTTTGCGAGTGCAGAAAGTGCTGCTGTGAATGTTTTGGTGGGCTTTTCCTTCCATCTTTGACCTTTTTCAGGTGATTGTCCAATAGTGGGTTAAAGGCCATGAGCAGTTTAGTCACTGTTCTTGCATGATTCCAAAATGTCTGGACTAATTCATCGCTCCACTGACAATGTGTTAGTGTGCTTCCCTTCCCGCAGCCCCTCCAGCATTGCCTATTTGTGTCTTTTCTCAGTTTTTGTCTCTGTGATGCGTGCGAGGTGAAACCTCAACTTGTTTTTCTCTTAGTATTGTTGTGGAGGGCTTGTCATCCTTCTGAAAAAGGTATGACCCTATCCTTTGACCACTCATCCACCCTGGTCATCCCTGTCTTAGATGTCAGACTTTATCAGTTATTTAACACAAACATTTTCCCATTGAACATTGACTCTCTGTATGAAGCTTATTATAGTGTATAGCATAAGGCGCTGGTCCAAACCGATTTCCCACCAAACTTTCTAATTTTCCCGTCCTTATTCAATAGGGAGTCCTGCCCCAAGTCATTTGTTTTCTTGGGTTTATCAAACACTGTGTTCATTTGCTTCTACCAATCTCCTTTTAAACCACTACTACAGAGTTTTAAGGACTGCTGCTTTTTCAGAGAATTTGAGATGTAATGGGGGCCCCCCTTACTCTTTTCACTTTTCTCTCATTGTTTTCCTTGAGATTCTTGATTTGTTATTCCTGCACTGAATTTTGTCTCATTCTATTAAAGTAACATCTTTTTATTTTGAGTAGCATAAAGCTAATTCTATAAATCAGTTTAGGTAGTGAGTCAGAGTTACCTAATCCATGCCATGTGGCAGATCCTGCCCTTAACTCTGATGGACTAGCCAGGAGGGGGGTCCCTCTCTTTTTCTCTCTGTCTCTGTCTTTCCAGCTCCTCTTTTTCTGTCTCTGTGTCTCCGTCTCTCTTGGTCTCTCTGTGTCTTTTTTCCTGTCTCTCTGCTCTCTTCCCCCTCTTCTGTAGCTCTTCCTTTCTCTATGTCTGTCTCTCTCTTCTCTCACACAAAGACCCCAGCTTTGCACAGTAGATATTGGTTCATTTTTTTTGATAAGGGGGACCAGACCTGTAATTTTTCAATGTAGGAAGCTGCCAGGCAGGATTCCTTGTGCCTGTGCAGACGAGCCCTTTCTCTGTAACCATACAGAGTTGCCCACAGCATTGAGAGGTCGTGCTCCTTGCCCAGGGTCCCATAGCCATCCTCCCTCCCGTGCCACTTAACAGATGTTTCATGAATTAGGTCAGTGCTTGGCAGGTTACTCAGATATTTGTTCAGTCTCCATACTGACATTGTGGCTACGTGTCTAATACATTTTTTTGAATAGTTCAGATAACGAATTAAGCCTCTGCTTTAATAGAAACACACACTATTGCCTTTGGCTCGCTGAACATTGACCTTCTCATGTTAATATGAAAATCCTCACGTCCTGTCTTGCATTTATCTATCCTTGTGTCCCCAGCTCTTGGCATGGCGCTTGGCATATAGGAGGTTCCTAATGAAGGCTTTTCATTCATTCATTCATTCAATACCATTGCCAACAGAGTCAGTCTGGAATTATAGGTACTTTCTAAAACTATGCTTTTGGGTCACAGAAACCTGTTTGGGCCTAATGCTGACCACCGACCCTTGCATTTGAACCTCGATTTGTAGCTTTCCAGGCAGACTTTTTTCCCAGTCTTGGAGACGTTGTGTAAATTGCTGTCTAGGTTGGCTGTCCTCGCCCTGCATCATTTTGTACAAGTGTCTGAATTCTTCATGTTTGACCCTCTTTATGGCACCATCGTATTCCATGACCTTTACAGAGCATGATTTGTTTGGCCATTCCCCAAGCATCAAGCACATCTTTTGTTATCACAAAAAGCAGAGCTCTGAACTTTCTGGGCTGTGAGTCTTTCCTTATCAGCAGTAGCCTTGGTGGGATACAGCCCCAGGGTAGGAGACCCCAAGGTCTATGCCTCCTTTCCTAGGGGTATAAATGGAGGCCCAGAAAAGTGCCATGACCCTGGGCATGATGTCACCCATTCAGCGGCCCAGCTGAGACCTAAACCCAGGTCTTCCGGCTCCAAATTCTAATTCCTCACCACACAACCCAAGTTGTTGTGGCCTGGTAGAAAAAGTACTGTATGAGCGGTAGAGGGGAATTCATGGAAGATTCTGCATGAAAGATTCCCCCCCCCCCCCCCCCCTACAGCAAATACTAAAATTAAGCCCCCAGATTCAGAAAACTCAGCAGTAGCAAGAAGTGAGATTACAGGGGAAAAACAAGGTAACTGAAGACCGACTTAGCAGCCCATTGTGGGAACTCCCATCTCTTCCTGCGTATCCCACCCTGGCCAGTGGGCTGGCCCTTCAGCCCTTGTGGCTACAGTCTGGGACACCCACTCGGAAAGTTCTCATTTCAGGTTCCCCAGGATGTCCTAGCTTTGAGCACCTGGGGGTTCTGCCACTTCTAGCCTCCTTTCTTCTTCCTTTTCCTGAAGGGGACCTGGCAGAGCCCCACCTCAAACTCCACTAAAAAGTCATAATCATTGGAAGGACGTGGTACAGTCAATGGAACAGAAGACGTTCACAACGTACAGAAGCTGAAAAACATGGTGGGGTAATGTTTGATTAACACAAAGACCCCAACTCCTGGGGCAAGGACTCACTCTCTGACAAAAACTGCTAAAAAAAAAAAAAAGAGAGAGAAAACAGGCAAGAGTCTGGCAGAAATAAAGTACAAACCAGCATCTCACTGTATGCCAAGATAAGGTCCAAATGGATGCATGGCTTAGAAATAAAAGGGCACACAATGAACAAATCAGAGGGGCAAGGAAGAGCACAATGTTCACAGTTGGGGATTGAGAAGGATTTAGGACCAAACGAGGGATGGAGAGGAGCACGAGGCGAAATGGATAATCTTGATTACATGAAGCTACAACGTTTTTGCACAAACAAAACCAATAAACTTAGAACAGTGAAAATATTTACTGGGGA